GTAGCTGGGACTACAGGGTGCACCACCAAACTCAGCTAATTTTTTGTTTTTATTTTTAGTTGCCCGGCTAATTTTTTCTATTTTAAGTAGAGACCGAGGTCTCGCTCTTGCTCAGGCTGGTCTTGAACTCCTGACCTAAAGCAATCCTCCTGCCTCTGACTCCCAGCGTGCTAGGATTACAGGCACGAGCTGCTGCGCCTGGCCACTGGGTATACTTTAAAAATCAAATCTAATAGTTCTTTCTCTTTTAGGAATTTTAATCCATTTACATTATTGGAACTACTAATAGATTTAGGCTCATTACTATGGTTTTATTATTATCCAGGCTTTTAGTTTCAGGTTTTTTTTTCTTAAATTTTATTAACTTCAAAACCTTTATCAGAGACATGGTTCTATTCTGGGGTAGGGGTGCATTGAGTTGATGTTACCCCTTCTTCAGGCTGGCGGCAAGGCCAGACTGGGGAGGGAGCCTTGGGCCTTTCAGGGCTCACCCCAGATGGAAAGATTTGGGCCACTCCAATAGAGGATCAAAATTTGAGACTACAGCTTTCCCTCATCCTAGAAGAAGGCAGGGTAGGGGTTCTTCAGGGGCTCTTCAGGGGATGGGGAAGCAAGCAGTCACCTCTCCATCCGGCTGCAGGGAGCTGGGACAGGGGCCAAGAGGGGCCCATCTGTCGCCTCCCAGTCCTGCCAGCTTCTTTGAGCAGGCCAAGCTGGGGAGGAGGACGGGGACAGCTGTCTGCCCCAGGTCTTCTCAGACCAAGGTGGGAATGAATGGAATGAAGGCCACACTAGGAGGGTGGGAAGCTGGGGTGGTTTTTTTCCTTTTAAGATTTTTGCTTTTTTCCACTTCTTCAACACGAAAAAAAAATACGTATTTTTTCTTTTATAAAACTTTCGTTGAGTGGGGACAGTGGGTGTGGACAGTGGGTGGCCTGGTCTCCTGGCATCACCCGTTACCAAAGTTCTGACTCAAGAGGAAATCGGCAGCAAGTTCTCGTTTTTTTTCACGCGCGAAGCAGGCCCGGATCACCAGGCATTCTGGGAAGCCTGGCGCTTTCAGCCTTTCTATGGCCTCTTTCTCCTGAGGCGTCATGTGGCTGTGGTTCTGCTGCGGGGCCTCCTCGACTATGGCGCCCACCTCACCCTCCACATTTGAGATACCCGCTAGCTCCCCAGCGGGTTCGTTCAGCATCTGGATGAACTGATCCTGGTGCTGGCTAATTTGCTGCAAAAGCTGAGGGTTCTCCTGGCCCAGTTGCTGGAGTAAAGCGGGCGGCAGCGCAGGGCTCCGTTGAATTCACCTGCAGCACGTTCTGGAACTGGGATTGGTCCCGCAGGAGCTCCAGGGGTTGTCTCCTGCTTCTGTGGTCGGCTGCTCGGACACCTGTCTCTCCTGGACAGAGCCGTGTTCTGGCTTCGGGCTTCCAGGAAATCCTGTGAGTAGGTACTCCGCGGCTCGGTGGGGTTTGTAGCTGGCCCTCGGCGGCCGCGACCTGCTCCCGCGGGTAGCGCGTGGACACTTTCCATGAGCAGGTTCTCGCACTCAGAGCCAGTCGCTAGCGTGGAGGCCGCGTCCTCCTCTCGCCCACTGTTACCTGAAGAGGGAACAGAGCCTGACACGGACTCTGGGGAGGTGATAGGGGCTGATTCCTCTGATGCGCTCTGGCGCTCTCCGGCGGCAGGTGAGGGATGGGACATGCCCGAGGCAGGGGCAGGCGGGCAGGAGGTGCAGGACTTCGGAGCAGCAGTGGGTGGGCTCTCTGGGGCTGCTGAGGTCCCTGGCCAGCTTTGGCCTTGGTCACCATGACGACCATAAAGTTGGTCTCATCTATGTGATAGTCCCTAATGGGTACATCGTCTCTCAGCATCTTGCCGGCATAGATGAGTTTCTGTCCAGCCTCGGGAAAAGCATCACGACCCTTCTGAGCTTCTGTCTTCTCCTTTTTAGCACCTTCGCAGTCTTGTCAGACTCCCCGCGGACCTTGACGGTCGCTGCGGCTGCGGCGTTTTGAGCGTGCTGGAGCCTCACACAAGAACAACTCACATAGCCGCCATCTTAACCTAGTTTCAGTTTTAAAAAACAACCACAGTTAGAAATCTTTTGATATCACAGTCAGTAGCTTATACAACTTGTTAGCCTATTTAAAAAAATCATTTTCTGTATTCATTGTTGTTTTTATTCCAACCCCTTATTCAATAGGCTTTTCCCTCTGGGTTCATTTTTCATCCTGATGAGATACATACTCCTTTAATAGATTTTTGGTGAAGGGTTGTAGATAATAAGCTCTCTTAGACTCTTTTGTGTCTGAAAATGTCTTTATTTTGCCTTTACCTTTGAATGATAGGTATAGCATTCAGTAATTTTTCCAAAATATTTTGCTAATATTACTTCTCTTCTGGTATCAGTAATTGTTGATGGTAAGTCTGTTCTTAGATGAATTGTCATTTCTTTGTAGATTATTTTTTTTATGACTTCTTTCGAGATTTTTCTTTATCAGAAAGTTCCGAAATTCCACTATAATAGGTCTAGACTTTTTCAACCTAGAATTTGAATTTAGATTTTGATTTGAGAGTTCCAGTCTTTAATTCTTAATCATTATCCCTCCACCATTCTATTCTTTTTCTGAACCTTCCATTAAATGCACATTGGAGTTATTCAGTCCATCTTTCTTTTTCCTTATTTGCTCTTTGCCTTACTTTGTTTTCTCTCTGAAATCTGGATGAATTTATCACTACTAATTCTCTTTTTGTCTGAGTCATGCTTTGAGTTTATTTAATTGATTACATTTTTTATTTCAATGACTGTATTTCAGTTTTCAAGACATCTAATTGATTCTTTTTCATATCTGTTTCCGCTATATCTTATTTTGTTTTATAATTTGTTATTTTTATATGAGATTATTTCTTTATTAATCTCTGTGAGTGTATTGTTTCACAGATAAAAATTTTAAGATTTTTTTCCTTGGGGTAATTTATGTTTGTTTCACTTGTGAATTTTGTTAGCTGTTTTCCTTAGCAAAGATTTCTCCATGTGGTGTCTTGGAATATTGATTTTCAGGTTTATGTTGATTTTTCTTTTTTAAGAGAGAGAAAATATTACCACCTTCCCTTGTTAAAATTCATTGAGGTGAAAGTCACCAAACATAAAATCAACCATTTTAAAGTGAACAATCCAATGGCATCTGGTACATTCACAGTGTTTTGTGATTACCATCTCCAGCTAGTTCCAAAATATTTTCACCATTCCAAAATAAAACTTCATACCCATTAAGCAGTTTCTCCCCATTCACTCTTCCCCGAGTCCCTGATAATCATCAATCTACATTCTGCCTCTATTCTGAATATTTTATGTTAACAAAATCATTACAATATGTAACCCTTTGTGTTGCGGCTTCTTTCACTTTAGCATTATGTTTTTGAGGTTCATCAAGGGTGTAGTATATATAAGTACTTCATTCCTTTTTATGTCTGAGTAGTATTTCATTGTATGTACAGACCACAGTTTGTTTATCCATTTGTCTGATGATGGACATCTGAACTGTTTCCGCCTTTTGGCTGCTGTGAATAGTGCTGTTGTGAGTAAGCATGTCCATGTATTTGTTTGAGTACCTGTTTTCAATTCTCTTGGGTAAATACCTAGTTTATACCTAGGAGTTGAATTGTAGGGCCTGGTAGTGTTCCTCCCCTCCAATAAACTGTTATTTTAGAACAGTTTTAGATTTACAGAAAATATGTGAAGATTGATAGAGAGTCCCATACGCACCACATCCAGTTTCTGGTATCATTAGCATCTTACATTGGTATGGTACATTTGTTACAATTAAGACAATTTGAATCATTAATATAAACTGAATTCTGTAGTTTATTCAAATTTCCTATTTAGGTTTTTACCAAATGCCTTTATTGTGTTCCAGAATCCCATGTGGGATACCACATTACAGTTAGTCATCCTGTCTCTTTAGGCTCTTTTAGGCTGTGACAGTTTTTTTTTTAAGACTTACTGATTTACTTGTTTTTTAATTTTATTTTTAATTGACAAATAATAATGACATGTATTTATGGGGTAAAACATGATGTATTGATATATGTTTACAATGTGGAATGATTAAATCAGGCGAATTAACAAATCTATCACCTCACATACTTTCTTTTGTGGTGAAAACATTTACAATCTACTCTTGTAGCGAATTTGAAATACAATACATCCTCATTAATTATAGCCACCATTCTGTGCAGCAGATCACAAAGCTTATTTTGTCCTAACTGAAACTTTGTACCCTTTGATCAACATTTCTCCTTTCCCCATCTGCCCTCCTCCCCCAGCCTCTGGTAACCATCATTATACTTTCTACTTATATGAGTTCAAGTTTTTGAGATTTCACATGTTAATTAAGATCATGTGGTATTTTTCTTTGTGTGCCTGGCTTATTTTACTTAGCATAATGTTCTCCTGGTTCATCTACATTGTTGCAAATGACAGGATTTCAACCCCCTTTTAAGGCTGAATAGTATTCAATTGTGTATATATACCACATTTTCTTTATTTATTCATCTAATGATGGACACCTAGGTTGCTTCCATATCTTAGCTATTAATATTATGAATAATGCTGCAATGAACATGGGAGTGCAGATGTCTCTTCAGCATACTGATGTCATTTTTTAGATATATACCTAGAAGTGGGATTACTGAATCATATAGTAGTTCTATTTTTAATTTTTTGAGGAACCTCCATGCTATTTTCTGTGATGGTTGTATTAATTTACATTTCCACCAACAGTGAACAAGGGTTCCCTTTTCTCCACACCCTTGAAAACACTTATCTTCCATCTTTTTGAATTATGACAGATTTTAAAATTCCCTTTTTTGATGTCGATGGCAGTTTTGAGGAGTACTCCCCAGATATTTTGTAGAATGCCCCTCAGTTGGGTTTGTTGGATATTTTTCTCTCGATTAGACTAGGGTTATGTGTTTTGGGAGGAAGACCACAGAAGTAAAGTGCCATTTTCATCACTTTATAACAAAGGTACATAGTATTGATGTTGACCTTCGTCACTTGGCTGAGGCAGTATTTCTCAGGTTCCTAAAGTTGTTCTTTTTTCTTTGGAAAGGAATCACTATGTGCAGCCCACACTTAGTGAGTTAAGAGTTATGTTCCATCTCCTTGATTGTGGAACATCTGCATAAATTATTTGGAACTCTTCTCTATGGGAGATTTATCTTTTCTCCTTCATTTATTTGATCATTTATATAATTTATATCAATAAGATATTTATTTCAGAGTTTGGGTTATAATTCAATGTTACTTAATTTCGTTGCTCAAATTGTTCCCATGCATTGTACCTGTTTTTTTCTGAGAAATGATGAATTGAGGCATGAGTCAGATCTCTTTCTTTGCCTTGTTTCAGAAAGCTTAGAGCCACATCAGTGGTCTTGCAAAAGTGCTTAGAAATTGATGCATTTTTATATTATTCTGATTTGTGACTCTATCTGTAGCCTTGTTTTTTCTTTTCATTTTCTTCTAATTCATATTATTATAGCTTGCTCTATTTTATGAAAGTGCCTCTAAAAGCCACTTTAAATGCTTTCCAAAAGAAGGCCAGAGGCTAACTGTCCTTACTTACCTTCCTTCTCCACCAGTCATCCCCTGCCTCCTCCATCCCTTCTTACTGCAAATTAACTGAGTACTGCCAATGCTCCATCTAGGGTCCCAATGCCAGGACCCTGCTTCGGGGGGTTCCTGGGCCATAGCTTGCTATGAACTGCCACACGTAGCTGCACCAGGTGTTAGACAGCTGCCTGGCCAGGGTCCATATCCAGCCGTTCTCTTTCTGGCAGGGCCAGAGAAGCTAGAGCTAGATTTTAGCTTCAGTAGGCTCCTTGGGTTTCATTTTCTTTCTTTGCTCTTTCTTCTCTTTCTCCGATTGTCTTCTTGCATTGGCAGAAAGGGTGGCCATTGTGAAGTATGCAACAATTTTTAATGCCCTGAAAAGAATTTCATAGAACATGGTGATGATCTTGGATTACTTGCTTGCTTTGGTGCTGTTTCAAGCTTTAGCTCTTAATTCAATGAAAACTTGTATCCCTACTTTGCTGCACAGAGTGCAAGTTTCTTCTTAATGTGAAGGGTCTAGTGGTACCTACCTTAACAGGTTACCAGTGGGATGGAAATGAGGTAAAGTTAGCAAAGTTTTCAACATTGGGCCTGGCATACAGCTCTAAAAATGGTAGCTATTATGGTCATCATAAAAAACCAGTTTACATTATTATTCAAAGTTTAAATTTCTTATTTCTGCTCTATGCTTTGTTTGTAATTGGAAGCACAGTGGAGGGCAAGTGGGCTGAAGTTATGGCTGGAAGGATCTCGTCTTCTAAGCTTGTAGGAAAAAGTCTCAGTTTGGAAGCTTGGGGACAGACAGTTGTGGATTCAAATACCACCTCTGTCATTTAATGACTTCACGACCTGGGGGCCAGTTACTTAATCTCTCTGAGTCTTAATTTCTTTATTTTTAAGATGGGGATAATGAGGCTATCTCAAAGAGTTGTGAGGTGAAAGGAAAATGTCCTGCAACACACTGCTCTCAATAAATCATAACTTCCAAGGACAGTTGTATTTAAATTTTAGAGACTGTCAAGAAGGTGGAATGGAAAGAGTTGTTTAGCTATTTAAATGTTCTCATTTTGAAGATGAAACTTTAGAAATCAGAGTACAGAGTCACTAACTCAGGGTGGTTTTTTTTGTGTGTGTGTGTCACAAAGCTTGCAACTGTGACATGGATGTGAGGAGAAGTTGAAAGATATGAGTATGTGTTTCTGGACTGGAAGCCCCTAAGGAAGGCAGACAAGGAGGGGGATATTCACAGTTGATGATGGAGGAGAAATGCCTAATTTGATGTGCATGGTCATTTCACTAAAGATGGCTCCATAAATATTTGTGATTGCAGTGACTGTGGTTCTTGATGGAGCTTTTTGGGCCAGACTTGAAAATGATTAGATAGAGTGAGCATGAGAGAAAGAATGTGATGTCAGGTGAGGCTGGATGTGGCCCTGAGTTGAGTAGTAAGGTTGTATGATCTTGAAAAGGGGGAAAGGAAGAAAAAGGAAATTGACATTGGTTAACAAACTATTATGCTTCATGCACTGTAGTGAGTATTTTGAATATATTATCCTATTTAACCTTTATACACCTATAAGGCTAAGATCAAAGTCATACTTCTGATAAGTGACAAAGATAGAATTCAAAGTCTGAGTATACTGAATTTGTATGTCAAGTAATTTTAAGTACATAAAGACCGCTGACTATTTAAGGAAGCAAAAAATTGTGTTGTAAATAAATACCCATTATATATAGATCTGTGTTTTGGCCTATATTTTATGGACTATAATTGTGAGCTGTAAACATAATCTATTTTTTAGTTTTCAACATTTAACTCTGAGCAAATAGAATCCTGAAAATGTAGATGGTGCGTGGAGTCCATGCTTGGACAACTCTTTGCCCTCAGTCTATTTTTTTTTAAAAGGACCAGTCGTGGGAACCACAGATAGTCCATTGGGGCTGAAAACTTCTTTTGATCAAATGAATTTTCTCTGCCTTGAATTTACCTTCTTATAATAAATGAAGGAATGGATTAGGTATCCCATCTTCTAAATAGCCACCAAAAATCCTGATAGGATTCCATTTATTCTCTGAGCATTAAGACTTTAAAAGTGCAAACGTTTAAGTGTTTAGAGTCTTTCGTAATATACTTTCTTGGAAAATATATCAAAATGAAGTTGTCAGAGGGCTCTAAAAATCACTGGTGAGCAAATACTACTCTAAGATTGTCAGGTCTAAGGAGACTTTTATTCTGCCCAAGGAGTTATCTTGTTGATAAGGTGTTATTAAACACTGAATAGAAGAAAACTCATTTGTAAGAAATGGGCCAGTTGATACATCAAATCAGTGGTTAATCTAAACCTGGCAGAGAAACACAAGCATTGTGTTAGATTACTAGAATGCATATGAGTCACACATTTTGTTTCTCATTTGTTCCAATCACAAACCAATTCAACTGTCTGCACTGTGTACTGAAGAGTCTGTCTGTGGATGCATGAAGAGAAATTGAGAAATAGTGTGTAGAAAATTTAGATTATATAATCTATTTAGGGCAATATTTAAATGTAGCAAATTGTAATTAAGCCTTCTGCACTGCTCCAGCAATGTGGATATACATTAATTTTCTTCATGCAAAATTATGAAAACTTTAACTCTATGTGTATTATTTTCAGCAATCTTAAATAATGTTATCAAATTAGAAATTTAAAACATTTCATAAGAAATTGAGAACATGATAGTTATTCAATCTTAAATATAATTGTTTCTTTGGGAAAGGCAACACAAATCTTACTATTAAAGCATTATTCCATTAACAATCAGCTCTACAGGGAGAAAACTTGGCCTGGAGTGGAGAGAGCATGAGTAGGAATGAGGAGTCCAGCCCTGGTTTTCTCCAACTCTGGTGATTTGGTCTAGGTTAGCTCATTTCATTTTCCATGAGTCAATCTTCTTGTTATGAAGGGGGATTTATACCAGTTCCATAGTTCTAGTTTTTCGGTTTTGAAACTTTCTTCAAAATATTTATTAAAAACATTATGTCTAAGCCTAAAAAATAAAAAAAAATAAAAATAGAGCTGCTTTGGTTGGGAGTAGGAAAGGGCGGCATCTGGGCACTTACATTTCCCTGGTCCTCACTCAAGCTCCCATGACCTATCAGGGGTTACCATAGAAGGCAATGGAAATATTCCATTTTTGTTAGCTAGTTCACGAAGTTCTTTCTAGCTCTAATGCTTTGAGATTCTGTGCTTTTAAATAATAGCAAGCTCCCTTTGAATCAGATTTCCATTTTGTTATGTTGTAAAACCATTAATGCAACAAATATTTACTGAGATATTACTATATACCAGACATTGTTTAGGTTATGGAGATAGGGAAGGGAACAAATATTCTTCATTTATGGAGCCTACATGTAGAAATGACAATAGAAAAAAGAAACAAGTATGTTATATACTAAATGATAAGTACTATTATACAAAGAAAAATAAGCGTGGTGAGGGGGCTGGGGCTTCTGGGATGGAAAATGTATTGTTATTCCTATAGAGTGGCCAGGGAAGTCCTCAATGAAGAGGGAACAGGGAATGCAGAGACTCTGAAGTAGAAGCCTGCATGGTATGTCCATAAACCAGCAAAGAGGCCAATATGGCTCAGAGAAGAATGGTAGGAGATGATATCACAGAAATCTTCAGGAGTAGGAAATTAAAGAGATAAAGCAGCTGATGTAGGACTTATAGGCCATTGGAAGGGCTTTAGATTTTATTCCAAATGAGATGGGAAGTCATGGGAGGGTTTTGAGAAGAGAAGTAATATTATATAACATACATTATAAAATGGATTTCCGTGGCCATTGTGTTGTGAATAGCTTTTAAGAGGGCGAGTATGGAAGAAGGGAGATCAAATTTAAAGAGTAATAGAGCAATTTAGATAATAGTAGGTGAAATGTTGAGAAATTGTTAGTTCCTGGATTTATTTTGAAGATAGAGTCAACAGCATTTATTAATGAATTGGATGGGTGGTGTGTGAAAAAGAGAGGCATCAAGGATGATTTTAAGTCTTTTTTTTTTTTTTTTTTTTTTTAGACAGAGTCTCACTCTGTTGCCCAGGCTAGAGTGCCGTGGCATCAGCCTACCTCACAGCAATCTCAAACTCCTGGGCTCAAGCAATCCTACTGCCTCAGCCTCCCGAGTAGCTGGGACTACAGGCATGCGCCACCATGCCCGGCTAATTTTTATGTATACATATATTTTTTAGTTGTCCAGCTAATTTCTTTCTAGTTTTTTAGTAGAGACAGGGGTCTCACTCTTGCTCAGGCTGGTCTCGAACTCCTGAGCTCAAATGATCCGCCTGCCTTGGCCTCCCAGAGTGCTAGGATTACAGGCGTGAGCCACCACGCCCGGCCGATTTTAAGTCTTTCAGCTGAGCCATTGGACTGATGGAGTTGCCATTTAGTAAGATGGAAATCCTGCCACAGGAGAAGATTTGGGAATTAGATAATCCAGAGCTATGCTTTGAACATATACCTATTAGGTATCCCAGCGAATAGTGAGTGGGTAGTTGAATGTATGAGTTTTGAGTCCAGGTAAGAACTCTAGGTTGATTATTAATTTAGGATTAATCAGCATATAGATTGTATTAATATTTGAAACTATCATCCAGGGAATGAGTGTAGATTATGGGGATAAAAGGCCAAATACTGAGCATTCCAATGTTAAAAGAGGGAGGAAATAAGGAGAAACCATTGAAAGAGTCTAGAAGGAATGGTTTATGATATAAAAGTAGAATCCAGAGAGAGCACGGAAGCCAATTTAAGAGAGGATTTTGACAAGGAGTAAGTGATCAACTGGGTCAGATGCTATGGATATGTTATTAATAAGAAAGGTAAGGTCTGAGAAGGAGGAAGAGCTCTTTGGTGACCCTGGCACGATTGTTTGAGTGAAGTAGTGGTAGCTAAGGCCTGATTGGATTACATTCAATAGAAAAAAAGAGTCAGGGAGTATAATAAAATTTTTGATGAATTTTGCTATAAAGTTGAGCAGAGTGAAAGTGATACATGGTAACATGAAGTAATTTATAAGACTATATTATTCTTTCATGAGAATAATAGTAATAACATACATTGGGTGTTGGGCAGATGGGAGGGGAAAGGAGGGGATGGG